CATTGTCTCCGGGTATCCCTTGGGATATCCGGCTTTCCGCCAGGTTTGGGGGGGGGAAACGGCCATCCGCAGCTGAATCCGCACTCCCCTGGCGGGTATCCGCTGGGACCAGCGGGTATCCGCCCAGCGGATAACGGGATATCCGCAGCGGATTATCCGCGACCATCTCTAAAGGGGGTAGATTTTGGATAGAAATGTTTGGGCAAAAAAACAAGTTTGTTGAACGAGCTCAAATTGAATGTGTTGAAAAAAGAAGGATAGAACTGATGAGTTTGATTATCATGTGAACCTAGTTTGTTAAATAGACTATGTAGAGTGGGTGGACTGTTATTTTTGGCTGCTTATTTTGGATTCCAGAGTCTCAAAGCACAAAGTTGAAGTCACAAGAATTGGTGAAGTGGTGCAGAATAGGTCCCAAAGAATGAATATGAAAAAAATAAAAGAATCAAAATTTGGGAAAAATAAAAAATAAAATTGGGTTTTTTTTTCAAAAGCTTTGATATTCATTTTGGGGTAGTGGAAGCACTGGAAGAAAGAAAGAATGGAAAATGGGAAGAATGATTATAAAAGAAAATTTTGTAAAAAAAATGGTCAGGAGATGGTTTCAAAAACCTGTTGAGTAGCACATTCACCAGCACATGTTGTGGAAAAGCCCTAGAATTTAATTTACTGTTTTGACTCCAATCTGAACAACCATAACCTGGCTCAACCTTTTTTGGTTCCAATTTTTTTTTTTTTTTTTTTCATTTATAATCATTCTTGTCATGTTCCATTCTTTCTTTCTCTCAGCACTCCCATTGCTCCAAAAATGAATATCCAAGCTCTTGGAAAAAAACAATTTTATTTTTACATTTTTCACCAATTTTGAAACTTTGTTTTTTATGTTTATTTTTTTTATTTTTTTTCATATTTATTTTCTGGGACCTTATATCCTGCACCACCTGACCAATTTGGATGACTTAAATCTGGGGCTTTGAAGCTCTGGAATCCAAAATAAGCAGCCACTTTTCACTGCCTACCCACTGTACATACATGGCACTGAAAATGTGGTTTGGATAATCAATATTCAGAATGCCAGTACAACCCCAATAATGAGAAAAAAGAAGAAGAGTTTCCCGCGTGATGAGTTGAAGGAAAAGAACTACTATTTAGCTAGGGTTCATCAACTACAAATGTCTGCTCAGTCAACCAAAAACAAGCTACTGATCAATACTATAATCTAGTCTCATCATATAAAGAGTGATTCAACAAAAAAGAAAGACAGTACTTTTAGAAAACTTATTTTTAGGGATCAGTGGAAAAGAGACGGAAATTCGAGCAATAACTTCTTGGCTCACCCATGTTCAAACAGATTTTCTTGAATGTGAGTAATACATTGTTGAGCCTAGAGAAGATGATGTCTATGACCGTAAACATTCTTTCATCTTTTTCTTCAAGTGTTTGTAATTGGAGGATTCTCAACAAGTGTTCTGGGTGCTTATACACTCTAATAATGGTGATGAGTTTGGTCGGTTTAGCTAGTCGAGACAGCTGTGAAGTGAACCGCTCATTTTAAGCACTAGTTTATCTCTCTATTAAACAATCAGTACAATCACTTTTGAGAAGAAGGGAAAAAAAATCAATCAATGGGTTGAGTTGGTTTTTTTGACAAGTTAGCAATTAGGAAAGAAAAGAAAAGTACATGAATAAGATCATTTAGTATGTGCAGACAAACAATCGATTGGTTGTTTGTGGGAGATGTTTTAGGTGATCGGTTGGTCTGATGATAACGATGATCATCATCACCCATCACATGTCTTTGATCACAAGAAAGCAGAGAAATGAAAAAGGTGCAAAATAATAATGATAGCAGATAGTAAAAGCACACACACACATACAAAAATCTGGGAAATCAAACAAGAGAGGGAGCGCCAGAAAAAAGAAAAAAAAGAGTGGAATTAAATTCGAGTTGGTGGGGAGCAGCAATCAGCGCACTGATTTGACAAACAAGTAGAGATCGAGAGAGAGAGAGACCAGGATATAAGTGTTGAGAGTGATTATAAGGAGAAGAATGAATGGGCAAGAGGTTACATAAGCTTCATGGATCCGAACCCGAATCCATTGGTTCCTATCGGTTTCAATTGAAGCTTCTGGTAAGGCAGAGAGGCTGGATCATAGTAATAGGCTGGATCGAGACCAAGCTCGTTCAGTTTCCAGTCCATTCATTGCATGTGTTTTTTTTTTTTTGGTTTGAGGATTGACAGACCTTCGACTGATCCGGTGAGTTTCTCGAGACAGACGTAGTAGAAGCCTTGGATCGAAAGGCCCGATTGAGTGGGTTCGCAGTTGACGAAATTAGTCTCTAATAAAAGAATGAATCGGAAGAATGAATCTAATTAGTTTTTTTATTTTATTTTTATTTTTTTAAAAAAAGGAATGAATGTGAGGGAAGGGGAAGGATACCTTTCCATCTCATCAGGATGAAGCGCGAGTCGAGTGCGTGAATGAAGCCGGGATCGTTGTCGAGTTTGTCGAGGATAGAGTCGGGGTTGAGGCCGAGGAAGGCCTTTGTCTTGGACCAGTAGCGCAGGTCATTAGCGTGGGAGATGGAGCCGAAGGTGCTGATCTGTTGGAGGAGATGCCTGGAGGGAGCAGGATGGAAGAGGGATGATCGGATGGAAGGCATGAGTGGCTTATGTCGGCCTTCGTCCTCGATCTCGTTCGTCCAGAGCTCTTTGGATGATTTCTTGAGGTCGATAGTTTCGCCCTCCCAGGCGGTGATGATCATACTGGTAGTGGTACTGGTGGGCCTATCGGTTTGGTGTTCGGAGTGTGATCTGAGATGGGGTGATGGGGGGTCTGGCTTGATCTTGAGGGAGTTATTGAAGAGGCCGTCGGCTTGCATCATCCCCGATAGTTTCCCGGTTCGATGGTCCGAGTGGGTGACAGTGACTCTGACAGTCCATTCGGGAGGGTTGGTGATCAACTGTTGATGGTCATCCGATTCGAAGCCATACTCTAGGAATAGTTCTCCTTCGACGAACGGATATCGCTGTTGTGGTTGTGGTTGTTGTTGTTGGTGGTGGTGGTATTCGACCGATGACTGTGAGCCAATGAAGACTGAGCCTGGTCTGAGGAATGATGAGTAGATTGGGTTTGAGTGAGACAGCTTGAATTGTAGGGTAGTTTAGTTTAGTGTGTTTTGTTGGGTTGGGAATCGGCAGCTTGATGTGTTGCTCATGGATGGAGGCAGATGAAAAACGGTCAGACCCCATCCGAATTCGATTGAGCCTTATCATTTTATGATACGTAATCAAAATGGTCTGATTCTACTTTCTCCCCGCAAGATTAATCAACAGCCCATGACATCACTAATCCTGAAGCACTGGGATGCAATACCCTCCTCTTGAGTCTTACAACAAGGCTATCCTCAGATCAGCTGTAGCGCCAGCAAACCGGGTTCAAAAAAAAGCAGGGGTCAAAAAAAACCTTGGCCAACTGGCATCTCCACTGCATCTCAATTACACGGCGGGAGCGATCGGTGACGATCCAATGTGTCGGCCCGTCGTGTGAGTCAAATATCAGGCTAGCCGACGGACCAACACAGCATCCCGACTGGCAAGGTCGGGTCCTCGTCATGCGGCCCATAAGTTGACTGACACAGTCGGCTGTACAGTCAAGAGAAGGGCGGAATTACAGGCCGTTGACCGACATGGTCATCAATTAGTAATTCCCGTCCCTCAACTGGTATAGCAGAGGTCTTTTTTGGTGAGCCGTCCAACCGGCCGCTGCCATGCTTGAAAGCTGCTTGAGCTCCGTTTGTACCGTACCACATTGGTCAACTTGCAGGTACACCTTGGTCTTCCAACCCCAGTAAGCCATATTTGACCATTGTTTTGCCAATGATCCGAATCCGATGATGTGAGACAGACATGATCATCGAGTGACGTCATTTTTAGATTTTCCCCAACTCATCACTTGACGTTCTCAATTTCTTAAGACCTTCTTTGCCTGCACATGTTCGCTATCTCTCCTCTTCTTATTGCTCCCCTCACCCTCCCATCCTCGCTATCCTTCCACAGTCAAAAGAGCTGAACCTGAAGCGCAAGTTAGAATCACACACCCTCCCCACTTCCTTTCCAACACCAATTCACTAGAACCCACTAGATCCTCTGAGTCTCCTCCCTCTCTCTCATGATATCTGGAAACATGATCGCAGTCCTGCCAAGAACCTGCTTTCCAGCCATTCTATCCCGCTGCTTACTGATTGTTTACTTTCTCAGATTATGTAGAAGCTGATCAAATCGGGTACGCTCAACAATGCTTTCTTGGACAAATGTGAGCTCGGTTACTTCCAAGAAGTCTTGATCATCGACTCTCTTTGAATTTCACAATACTGAACCCATTCATAAGTGAGCTTCACAATATCGTTTTCAAATTTTGACCTGTGCTCTGAGATCTTTGCTCTATTACTGGTGATTGATGTGTTGAATCAAGTGATGTGGATGTCCGATTGTATCTCTATTCATATTGTCATTTAAGCCTAGTGTCATCGTCATCTGCTACATTTATCATGCAAATGTATACACAAATAATTCACATTTTTGCATTGAAATGACCCAGAACCTGCTCATTTGTGAGCCAGAAAAGCATTAATAGAGCAGCGCAATGAACGGTGACCCATCCGTGGTGTGAGGGTCGAGGATTGGACAACGGGTGCATTGGTCCCGATGACCATTAGCAATCAGTCATCTATTTAAGTTATGGCATTGGCCATTTGGGCTCAAGGTCGGTGGAGCTGCCGGCAATGTGACGGTGAGGGTCGTCAGGCCCAATGACATGCCCTCTGTTGGGCGTCAACAGCCCCTGTTGACAAGCCGTCATGCTTGCTAGATAGCGACCTGTCTCCGGGGGCTCGGGTCAGTCGTCGTCATCCTTCGCGGGGTCGAACGAAGTACCAGGGACAGCACACTCGTCGAACTCCCCTCGTCGAGCTGCTCCGGCTGTGTAGGGTCTTATGTATAGGTTGCAAGAGCATCACGGTAAAGCAGCGCAATGCTTGCTCATGGGGGATCAAGAAAAAAAAATGGAGCAAAACTACATGACCAGCCCATTGCCGGATTTGAACCAGCGACCTCGGCATGCCCACAGAGTGTACAAGTGCCGCGCAATAACGACTATGCTAAACAGGCCCCCGGTGCGGGTTCCCCCGAAAAGACACTACACACTAGCTCAAAGGACTCGATCAGATGCCCAAGCTGCACTCGTGACTCTCAAACTGCCAGTTTTCTGGAGTCACTTTGGGCAAATACTATGCCCGATCAAGTGAGGGATGATGTCCCGGATGACGGCCCGGCAATTCGATTTCGTCTGATCCAACTGGACACCCTCAACAGTCCTCCCTCAGAATCCTCTCCTCTCAGCTTGAAAACTTCCCCCTTCCTTCCCCGCGGCCAACAGCTGTACAAAGTTCCAGTGCTCAGGTTGTTCGGCGCGACTCAGGCCGGACAACGCGTTGTAGCTCACGTCCATGGCGCAATGCCCTATTTCTACGTCCAGTTCGACGCTGGAATCCTCCCTGACACTGGTTAGAATCATCTTCTCTATTCATTTATCCATTCAGAGCCCTTTGAATCCCTCAACTGACGCGCTTTATACACATATATCCTGCCGGGATTGCATCCAGTGCATAGCTATATTCGCAGATTAGGCGCTGCTCTAAATTACGCAACCGCCGCCTCATTGGGAAAGATTAACAAGGCCAACCCCGCCGACCGAGGAAGACACCAATACGTTGCCTACATTGCTTTGTGCAAGGGCATCCCGTTCTATGGATTTCATGTGGGCTATCGATATTTCTTGAAAATATATTGCGTCCAGCCCAAGTTTAAGAAGCGCATGGCCGAACTACTAAGGACAGGCAAGGTCATGAGCCCCTCCGCTTATTCGCAAGGCGATCCGGCCAAAGGCACGCGACCCGGCGGATTCAAAGTTTTCGAGGAACATATCCCATTTCACTTGCAATTCATGCTCGATCACAATCTGTACGGATGCGGTTGGGTAGAATTATCCAATTGTGCTTTCCGAAGACCATTGCCTGGTGCGCCTCCAAAAAAAAAAACTAATCTAGCGAATGTAATCCACTGACGGTGCGCATTGAATTAATTGTTATTAATATTTGATCTAGATAACTATGTCACTTACGAAGGGTCTCAAGGGCCCATTTATCTGGCGAGTAGCGTCCCAGAGTCTCAGATGGCGCACGTAGACTTGGCAAAGTCTTCTTACTGTCCCATCGAGCTGGACTGCACGGTTGCTGATATCATGAACCGTCACTGGGTTAAGGAGCGCCAGTTGCATCAAGATTTTGTCGAGTTTTTGCAACAGCCGATTCCAGAGGATGAGAAGTTGGTCCAAAGCGTCAAGGAATTGTGGGAAGACGAACGCAAGCGACGGCAAAAACGCGGCCAAACTGGGCCCGAAGAAGTGCGCGAAACTGGACCTTCGAGCCAAAGAGACTATCCGAGAGGTGAACAACCTCAATGGTTTATGGAACCCAATTTTCGCACTCAGATCGAAGAATTGATCCGCAAGAAACATCGCGATCTAGCTGATCAGCAAGACATTGACCACCCAGCCGAGCCCGAGATTGCCTTTAAGCACTTTGTCAAGCCCGAGTCAAATCTGTCGAAATTGATCCCAACCACGTTCCAGGCCGTTGATGCTATTCATGTCAACAAATGGATCAAGGACGAGCAAGAGGACAACCCGTATGGTGTCTGGGCCATCCATGGAATCGGCACTGGTTCGCCTGCTAAACCCGATGGTAAGGAAATCCCCAAAGAGTCGGTCGATGCAGCGTTCAATGAAGAAGCCGAGCTACATCTTGGAATCGACATCGTAGCAATTCAGTCTCAAATGGAGAGCTACAATGACGATGGGCCAGACGACGAAAACGACGTGGTTCCTAATCCGGCACTTGACGCAATTTTCGAAGAGGGAGAGTTTGATGAGTTGAATTGGGACGAAATTGATAATCCCGATGCAATTGGCCAGCGCGAACCCAGAGGACCTGACGCTGCTGGATCAAAGCACACGACTCCTACCAAATCAAAAAATTCGTAAGTTTGATCGACTCGAGAGAAGTACAAGTAAGGCTGTCACTTATACTTTCAACTCCATGATTTGGAATATGTTCAATCCATCAGCAGTCGTTCTCCTGCAGTTTCACCTTCCAAACGATTGCAAAATCTCAAAAAGGAGTTCCAATCACCCAGGAAACTCAATCCCGACCAGCGCCTCCTTCAACCGGGTCGAATTTCGGCGGAGTCACAGGGGCATGATGACGGATTTGATTTGCAAAGCGCCTTGAAACGAGATAGACAGGAGCAGGACGATGGGTTTTATCAACCTAAAGCCGGGAAAATGATGCGCTTTGTTGAGCGTCTTGACCACACTCATACTAATCTCAAATCAAACTTCTCACATGACCTCCCGTCAGGCCAACGATCTCGCCCAATCGAAAACGAGCAAGGATCTTCACGAGAGTTGCACAAGCTGTCCAGTAATCGGACAAACCATCAAAAATCTGAATCAGATCAACCAGTAGAAGCCACCTTATCACCCGACTTGGATTCCCCTGTAACCAGCCAATCAATCAATACAGACGAAAAAGCCAAGATGAGGCTCGACTTTGCTATCCTAACACAAACTCAGCACCCCACAAGAAGCAATACAGATACTCGATGGTATCGATATCGTACTCCTTGTCCGTCGACTGAGAAGCTCTTAGGATCACTGAGCGAGTTTGATTTGCCGATGAAAATCTACAAAGATCCGTTCTATTCGGATCCCAATGATGTGCCCAATCGGAAACGAGAATATGCTGGAAGACAATATACCGTCTTGGGAAGCTCATTGTCATTCGTCAAGGAGTTTGAGCATGCGATTAAAAGCTTTGGAACCGCCGGCCTCCTCTCGGGAAAGTCAGTCCCTAATATCCCCTCTTGGGAATTCGCTACTCCTCCCCCAAAATTATCCGATTTGAGGTCGACCCCGATTAGCAAATGTCAGTTTTCAGACTCACCTTTTTGTGATCTAATTTCAATGATCATTGACTTTCTCGATCGTATTATTCTTTCGACTTTTTTTTTCCTTCAAAAATCTTCCCTTCCTCATCTCGGTATTTTTATTGCCATCATCTACCACCATTCATTCCATTCTTGTTCATCTTTCTCTTTGACGTTTCCCATTTTATTGTCTGCAAATTAGCCTCCAAAAGTTCCAAAGACTTCTTACTCGTTTCACAGGTTGTTTTCATGAAGATGAATCCTCCAAGATCCCCCAATTGATGAAAAGCTCATACTTTGCCAAGGTTTGGTTGATGATCAGATCGAAGGCCCAACGCAGCATAATGGCGGATTCAAGTTCACTCAAGTCAAATCAAGCGCAACGGTTCAAGAATCACAACACATGGATGTTCTTGCAATTGAAGTGTATGGTAAGGCGTGTGAATAGAGACATTTGTCAAACGGAGTGCCCATCACTAAGATCGTAATTGAATTTATCAGCTGACAGCACGAACGATCGACGGCCTGATCCAGCTTCCGACCAGATTAAGGTACTATTCTATTGTTTAAAAACCGAACGTGCAGGTATCGAACTGAATCGAACCGACTCTGGCACTCGAGTCGGAATCATCATGGTTGATGAGCATCAAGGCAATACCCCACGAACGGCAGAACAACTCAGATTGCCCAAATACGCTTTGGATCAATGTTGCATTGAGGTAGTTGATACTGAAGTCGAATTACTCAATTCACTCATAGACAAAGTCAGACATTGGGACCCAGAAGTCTTGACGGGGTTTGAATTGGAAAGCTGGTCGTGGGGATATGTGATGAGACGGGGCTGTGAGCTAGGTGAGGTCTCCAGGCTCGTCTTGTCCCTGCTCGGATCCGCAGCTAATTTTGAACGGCTGGTTTTCCCAGACTTCGATCTGGTTTATGAGCTCGGCCGGGTCCGATTTGAATCCCATGGCCGATTTGCTGGGAAGGACGATAAATGGGGATATACTCATGGCTCGTCCATCAAGATCACTGGTCGTCATGTGCTTTCAATATGGCGTATAATTCGAAGCGAACTAGCTTTGACCCAATACACATTTGAAAATGTAGTTTATCACGTCCTACGCACTCGGTAAGTCATTAACCAAGCTGAGTTTAAGGGCAAATGGGGAATCTCACTTACCAACTTGCTTTGCCTTTCATTCTCTTCTCACATTGTTGAATCAAAAAGAACTCCCCATTATTCATTTTCAACTTTGGCAAAATGGTGGAAGGATGGAACTGTAGAACACCGAAGAAGAGTCTTAATGTACTACATTGCTCGAGTAGAGCTCGACATCAATCTGGTGGAAGAAACCGAGATCATTTCACGCAATGCGTCAGTTTATTTTGACTGAGAATTCCTTGGATGATGCTACCCGTCATTCCTTCCCTCAGCTCGCGGATTAGTCAAGAATTGCCCGATTCGCGATACTCAATCAGTCTTCTATGAACGGATCAATTTAGGGAAATTTCACGGACCTTGGGGGTCGATTTTTTCTCCGCCATTTCTCGAGGATCACAATTTAAGGTCGAATCGGTCGTGTTTCGGATCTCCAAGCCGGAAAACTATGTCTTGCCGTCTCCCAGTCGAGAGGAAGTGAGTGTGGTTATGCAATTCCTCGAACATGAATTGACTCTCTCTAATCCATTCGGTTAACAAATCCTCCCAGGTTGCAAAACAAAATGCGGCCGAATGCATACCACTAGTAATGGAGCCACAGTCGGCGTTCTACAAAAGTCCCCTCTTGGTTTTGGATTTTCAGTCTCTCTATCCTTCGATCATGATCGCTTACAATTACTGGTGGGTACATCTAGCTTTCATATCGTGTATGATTGCTTCCTAGCTGATTGCTCTCCTGAAGCTATTCTACTTGCCTCGGAAGAGTCAGCTCTTTCAAAGGCGTCAACAAGCTGGGGACTTCGATCCTGGACTTGCCTGATGGTCTGTTAAAATTGATGAAAGACGATATAATTGGCGAGTTCAAAATACTGCCCCTTTCCTCTTTTCACAATCTGCATACAAATCCCAGTTCTCAAATCCGGTGTTGCGGATGTTGTAAAGCGCTAACTAACTTTTTAATTTGATACGCGTAGTTTCTCCCAACGGACTCATGTTTGTCAAACACCATGTCCGCAAAAGCTTGTTGAGCAAGATGTTGAGCGAGTTTCTGGACACGAGGGTTATGATCAAACAAAGCATGAAGTTCACCAAATCCGATAAGGTCAGCAACCTTTGACTTCCGGTAATACTTTGGTAACCCGCTGATCAGTGATGAGTTCAACGTTTACAGGCCTTGACAAAAATGCTCAATGCGAGGCAACTCGGTCTTAAATTCATTGCGAATGTGACCTATGGTTATACCAGTGCCAGTTTCTCTGGCAGAATGCCCTGTGTGGAAATTGCAGATGCTATCGTTCAGACTGGAAGGGAAACATTAGAAAAGGTTCGTTGGAGATTTGTATTCTCAATATTCATCACCTGTCTTGCACCAATCCAAGTAGACTCAACTCGTCATTTTAACCAAAAACTGGTCCAACTAATCTACGTCAGTCGATGGAAGTCATCCACAGCGTCAAGGAGTGGGGTGCCAAAGTAGTGTATGGTGATACAGACAGTTTATTTGTGTACTTGCCAGGGAAAACAAAGGAAGAAGCTTTCAGGATTGGAAATGAGATGGCAGACGCTGTTACCAAGAGAAACCCTGCACCAGTTAAACTGAAGTTTGAGAAAGTTAGTGATTACATTTTGTCTATGAATGTCTTGGTTGGACCAAACTTACAAAATCCAACTCAGGTTTATTTACCATGTGTCTTGATGGCGAAAAAGCGATATGTTGGGGCAAAGTACGAGAATCTAAGCGATACTGAGCCTGTGTTTGATGCGAAAGGCATTGAAGTAGTCAGGCGCGATGGAATACCGGCGCTACAAAAGATACAAGAAACCTGTCTAAAGTGTGCCTCTTTTCCTTTTCTTGCTTCAAGTTGAAACAAATCTGGAACTTACGAAATCATGAGTGAATTTTTGAAAGAAAACTATTCGCAACTCAAGATCTCTCGGATATCAAGGCGTACCTTTACCGTCAATGGCAAAGACTATTGCTAGGCAAAGTCTCCATCCAAGATTTCACCTTTGCCAAGGAGGTCAAATTAGGAACTTACAGGTAAAAGCCATCAGATTGTGGGCTCGATGAGATAAAAACTGATTTTTTTTTCCTCGATAGCGAGAAGGGTCCACCACCACCAGGAGCTCTGATTGCAGCCCGGAAGATGGCAATAGACCCGCGAAGTGAACCCGCTTATGCCGAGCGAGTACCCTATGTTATAGTCAAGGGGGCACCCCAGTCTAGGTTAAGAGATCGAGCTGTCTCACCGGAATTGCTTTTACAGAACCGGTCAGTCTTGTGTAACATTGCTTTGAGAAACCTCCTGGTGGATGGCTTGTCTTTCCACTCAAAATTATTAACAAGGTAGATGTCGCTGAAGCTCATGTGATACTACCACACGACCATTGGAGAGACTTAGTCTTTTAGCGCTTGACGCGGAGTATTATATCAACCGAGTCTTCATTCCAGCTCTGTCTCGGATCTTCAACATCATCGGAGTGGATGTCGCGGCCTGGTATCAGGCGATGCCCAGGATGATCCGGGTGTCGAAATCGGGCGGGTTGCTCGATACTACTCGTAAAACAAATCCCAGCTCCAAGATTCCGGAAAACCGGCCCGCGGAGGCTGTCGATAATCGACCGATAGATCGGGCGCAACCGTCTAGTAAATCAAACAAACTCTTGGTCGATGAACATTTTCGAAGCGACAGGTGCTTGAACTGCGAAAAGGAAGGCCAAAAGGGTGTGTAAATGTCCCCAATTTTTTTGGGGCTCAAAAATGAGACAACCCTCTCAAACAATCAACCGAATGCTGATTGACATTGTGGCAAATGATCTTTGATCTCTGGGATGAACGTCAGGGATTTTGTGCGAAAGTTGTGGACGAGATCGGACGGGAGTGGCATGTTCATTGATGAGCAAGGCGAGATTGATCGAAAGAAAGAGGAGCCAGATCGAGCAGGTTTGTAGAAGGTGCGCATCGATCCCGCCGATGGAAACAACGATCGACTGCGATTCCTTGGATTGTTCGGTGCTCTATGAGCGCGTGAAAGCCAATTGGGCCGTTCAAGATAGCCGCAACTTGGTCGCCGCCGTCGACCACATCGAGCTGGTTTGTACCTCTTTTTCTCCCCGCTTCCTTCTCGGCTTATTGAGCCATCAGCCCCTTCATCTTCCTTTTTCTTTTCCACATTTGCTTTTAAGAGCTTTACCCTGCCATTCACCCAGAGATTCTCTCCTTCATAACCTATCTCTCCTGATGATCAGTCATCCAATAGCTCACTAACGTTGAACTCATGCCTCCTCTTCTGCTTTTGAATTTATTACAGGGGAAAAATCTGAACCAGATGTCCTCATTACAGTGGTGAATTGTTGCTACCCTGCAGCCGTCTCCAAGAAACGTCTTCGAAAAAAAATTGGCAATCGTAAATAAAGTGGCTATGTCGAAATGTATCCTGTTCCCAATTTTTTTTTTTTTTTCAAATTTTCTGGATTTTTTGTCTGTATCAAGATTGGATGTATGTATGCTAAAAAGTGGTTTACCTATCTGCTGTTGGGCTATAAGATGCTTTTATCAGCGCTAGTTTGCTCCATTCGGAGAGTGCCAAATCCACGCCAAAATATCATTTGAACCTGGCAAGAAGTGTGGGACCCACGACCACTTAGTACCTGGGATGTATGTACTGTCCACTGGAAGGCAGTAATTACTTTCCTGCGCCAATCCGGTTCGCACCACGACAAAGAGTCGGATAGTGTTTTCTGCCAGCTGAAAAACAAGGATGCTAGGATTGGCCGTCAAACCTGAACCTTGAAAAGCCATGCAAGCAGAGAAACGTGGAGTCATCACTCATCAAAGCTTGTCATAACATCACTTCCTTCTTTCTGCATCGCTCAGCCTCACTATAACATGCCTCCGCCAGAAACAGTATAAAACGACATGCTGATGACCATCACATCAACCTGCCCGTCAATTATCTTCCGACTTCCGTCCTGGCAGACCGCACCTCCTTGTAAGTGTGAAAGACTTAATATGACATGTGCAGCCCGAGTAATAAGTGTTTTTTTTGGCTGAAAAAATGGAAACAAAATCACACCACCTATTGTTTTTGGAAAAATCTGGATATGTACCCACACACCGGCACCCAGCACAAGCCGGCAGGTAACCTGAGTGGGTTGGTGCCAGCAGACACCATGTATGTACCCTCACACTCAGGCCATCTTTATCCTGCACTGGTGTGTACATGGCTTGTTCCTACGCACATGCTGCAAGCTCTTCTGAATTTATTCAAACTCGACACCTTCCACTTCGCCAAAAAAATTCTCCTAAAAAAAATCAAAACCCTTATAAAAAATTAAAACTAACAAAAAAACAGTTTCTCTCCTCTTCTCTCTTCCGTCTCGGTGTCTTTTCCCCTTCCTTCTCTTCTCCTCTCTTCCGACCTTGTTATCTTAGAGCTTTTTCTTCTTTTCCCTCTTATAAGGTTTACCTTATTGGGTCCGCATAGTTTTTACTATGCCTCCCAAACGTATCGTCTTGCATGACGATATGGAAGACATCGATTCTTCCAATCCTTCCCCTTCCCACACTCCGACCCAGCATGACTTCTCTCACAATCCCTCCCTCCACCAATCCCAGCACAACCCTGTTAATGATTTTCACGTTAACGGTTTCTTTCAATTTATGTCGGACCTCCTCTCCCATCCTGAACCTGATGGAAGTGTAATCATCACGGCCGATAAGGTTAAAGTTGCTGCTAGTCTTCTCGGTGTAGAAAAACTAGTTTCAACTCAAACCTTGGCTAATCTTGAGAAGATCACATCCCGTCTCGATTCAATCGAGAAATCTATTCATTCTCCCCCCACCGCAAAGAGAGCTACTGTCGCTGCTTGGACTAGCGCTGTCAAAGACAAGCCTAACCATGTCCTTGTTCAACCAGTTATTCGCCCTCCCCCACCAAAGAAAATAATCAATGAATTCAAACCTGCTTCATTTGTTATTCGTAAAACTGTCCCCGACTCCCGCCCTTTTTTTCAAAAATCTCCATGTGAAATCACAAGAATAACTAATTCTGTCCTGTTGGACATTGAAGCTAAAACCGATGATAACACACCAATCATCATTAAGGGGGTCGCGACCCTTCCTTCAGGAGACTTTAAATTTTTCACTCAATCCCGTTTTGCAGCCAAGTGGCTCCTCGAACACAAGCACAAGTGGACCCACTTGTGTGATCCTACTCTTGTTACTCCCCCCTCCTCCTTCCCGGTTATTGTACACTCAATGCCAATTTCATTCACCCCTTCCAATCAATCCTCAATTTTGGAACTATGCAAAGAAAATAATATCGATTCTAAAGATATTCTCTCTATCCAATGGCTCGGCGACCCGCGCAATAAAAAACAATCTCACGGATTGTTGATTATTAATCTTTTTGATAAGAACCTCCCTCAAAAAGTTGAGAAAGGTGGTCTGTTCTATAAGTTCCTATTCCTGAGAGGTGCCCATTATAGGAAGTCCCCCTTACAATGTTTCCAATGTCTTGAAGTCGGCCACACCGCTCAACTCTGCAAAAATCCTCCAATGTGTAAACTTTGTGGTGATAACCACAATTCTAGAGATTGTACCTCCGACGACAACAAAGATTCATGTGTCAAATGCATCCAGTTCGAAAAAAGTCTTGATCTTCCCACTGAAGTGGATGAAGATAACATTTGATTCCGCCATTCCCCCACCAGCATTAAGTGTCCCTTAAAATCCAAATCCCTCCGCAAAAATATTCTTAATCATGTATAATTACACCGACAACAACCCAAATTCAGCTTTTCCCATTTCTCCTCCCTCATTCCCTTCTTCTCCTTCGCCACCTTCATCAGAATCCTCAGAACCGATGTTTAAAATTTTTCAGCTTAATTGCCATAATTCATTTGATGTCACCTTCAGTGTTCTCAACACTGAAGTAGAATCTTCAATTCTAATCCTTCAAGAACCTTGGATTAATCCCCACACCCTTAACCTTCCGTTCCATTCCAATTGGCTCTGTCTTCTTGACCACAATCACTCCGCCTCCTCTTATCAGAATAAACATCGTTGTTGTTTTTTGATTAATAAAAAATATAGCTCGGATCGAATCCATCCCCTCCCAGGAGGCTCTCGCATTTTCTCAGCTGTTGACATCGACATCAACATCAACAAAATTCAAAAAATTCGACTCATCAATGTATATAACCCTCCCAAAAACTTTGACGCCCTCCCTGAACTCGACTCCTGGTTAATCAACTTCAACAATCGGAAAATCCCATCATTCATCTTCATCGACTCTAACCTCCACAACAAACTCTGGAACCCCTCTAATTATCCTCACTCTCACAACGAATCCAAATTTCTCATCAAAATCTGTGGTTGAAATGGATTCAAAATCATCTCTCAAAAAGGAATACCCACCTTTCTGACTAAACGATCAAGCCCGACTACAATCGACCTAACTTGGGCCAACTTCATCTCCCAACGACTCATTCACTCCTGCTCAACTTCTTCTCTCAATCATGGATCAGATCATCAATCAATCCATCTTGTTCTCAACTTTCAGTCCAATATTCAAATCAACGACCGACTATCTTGCGACCTTGAAAAAATCAATCCCGAAAAATTCTGCTCCGATCTGTCAAATCAATTAAAAAAAATTTCCTCTCTTTCTCTAAATAACTCCCATGATATTGACATCATGGTAGAAAAACTAACTATCTCTTTTCAAAATTCCATTGACTCTCAAAAAAAACTTGTTAAAAATAATAATAAAAAAATAAAACCCTGGTGGGATAGTAAGATTCTTGCTCCCATTGCAGAAAAAAGAAATCGAGCTAGGAAATGGATGCTACTATCCAAATCCGCTAACTCTTGTGATTGCTTTAACCAATGGCAAACAATCTTCAAGGAAAAGGTTTTTGAGCTAAAAAGGAATCACTGGAGGAAGTTCCTTGCTGAATGCAATGACTTCCAACTCTTCAAAGCTTACAAATACACCAAACCAAACAGTAGCGGCAACGTTGCACCCCTGATCAACAACCAGAATATTCTCACCTCCAACAAGGAAGAACAGGCTTCCCTTCTCTTCAAAGGAACCTCCGACGCGCCCATTGATTGCTCCCTGTCGGACATCACTCCTCCCTATCCTTTCCTCCCCTTTTCCTTTTCCATCCATCTCCGGTTTTGAAATCGGTAACATTATTTCCAACCTTCCTAAAAAGAAGTCGCGCAGTCATGATGACATCGCTAATGAATTCATCATCTGGGGTAAGGAACCCTTGATTCTTCCACTCTGTAATCTTTTTTCATCTTGCCTAAAAATCGGCTACTTCCCTCTTTTTTGGCGTCATGCCACTACCGCAATCATCCGTAAAGCTGACAAAGATTCATACTCTTTGCCGGGTTCTTATCGACCCATTGCACTTTTATCGTGTTTAGGGAAAATCTTTGAAAGCATCCTGACCAAAAGAATCACCTTTTGGGCAGAAAATAATAACGTTCTTGCCGACGGCCACTTTGGCGGAAGGGCAGGTCGTAGCACCGATGACGCAAACCTATTCCTCACTTCTTGGATTCGCCAAAAATGGTGCGAAAAGAAAATTGTTTCTGCTCTTTTTCTTGATGTAAAATCAGCATTCCCGACTGTTATCAAAGAACGACTTCTGAACCATCTTAAAATCAAAAACACCCCCTCCTACTTTTTATCCATCATTTCAAGCTTCCTTTCAAATCGATCCACTTCGTTGAAAATGGAAGACTACTTGTCATCATCTTTTCCTTTGAAATGCGGGTTGCCGCAAGGCTCTCCTTTGTCCCCAATCTTATACATTATTTATAATTCATCCCTTCTAATCGACTGCCCGCTAGATTTGAACCAAGATTCATTATCACTGGGTTTCATCAACGATGTAACCCATCTTGTCGCCAAAAAATACCTTGAAACCTCTATAAGGAAACTTGAGGAAGAAGGTCGTAGATCGCTCTCTTGGGGTCACAACCACAATGCTATATTTGACAGGAAGAAAGCCAATTTCATGATCTTCACTCACAACGCCGTCGACGTCCGGCCCTTCAAATTCGGCGACATTTCTCTCCCAGCTTCCCATTCTGTAAAATACTTAGGAATCATTTTTGATTCAAAACTCCTGTTCACCGACCACATTAAAAAAGTCAAAAAGTGTGGTGACCAAACAGCCTCCCAACTCATCCGCATCTCTCGTTGTTCCTTTGGAATTGGCTTCCACCAATCTAAGAACCTGATTATCAGTGTTCTTCGCTCTAGAGTCCTATATGGCAGCGCCATCTGGGCTACTGAAAGGAAAAATTCGACCATCAACAATCTGTTCAAAAAAATTGATAATCTGGCTAATCGCATCATCCTCGGAGTGTTTAAAACCACTCCTTGTGCTTTTCTCCAAAGAGATTCTCCTCTAATCCCCTTCTTTGAAGTCCTAAAAAGAAAAAATCATCTATATATCATAAAAAAAAGTACAGCTCCACCTTCTCACCCAATCAAACGCCTTATCGACTCAGAAATTTCTGCCTCGCCCTCTACTCATCCCTCCCCAATTCACAACATCCTCGATAAACACCTCATCTCCAACTACAATCTTTCATCCATCGAAACCATCTATCCCCACATCATCGATCCTTGGGAAGATTTTTCACTTCCAATCTCAAATCTAAAAACCAAAAAAGAAGAAATCAAATCTAAAGTTCAACTCCAAATCTAAAGTTCAACTCCAAATCAACAATCTCAAATCTAAATCTGAACACCTTATATTCACCGACGGCTCCAACATTCCTGAAATTGGCTCCGCTTCGGCTGCTCTTTTGGACAACACCACCAAATTTTCCTGTCGAATTAGCGACTCACAGAAATCATCCGCCTTTGAAGCAGAAGTGCAAGCCATCAACATCGGTCTTGAAATCTTCATCAATAAATTCTTAAATTCCCCTTCCAATGTCTCCTCCAACATCGCTCCTATCAACATTTTCTGTGATAATCAATCCACTCTATTCTCCATTGCCAATCCTCCCCTTCCTAAATCATATCAATCTACCTTCTTGAACATTTTCAAAAAATTCAAAATCATTCTAAATTTATGTCACATTCCTATCACCTTATTCTGGTGTCCTGCACACGTCGGTATTCCAGAAAACGAAACGGTTGACAAACTCGCCAAAGCCGCCACTCTCTCTAGTCATCCACACCATCTCCAGAATCAAATACAATCGCTATCTAATACTCAACAACTAGCTCGTTCCTTCTTCAAATTTAACAAAACAAAGAAATCCATTATCAGAAATAAAATCCGTCAATCTTTTCCTCCGCTTAAAATTTTTGAACAACTTGATCAACTTGAAAGAGGTGCTGGTTCCATTATCTATCAACTGCGGTCGGGTCATTGTCCACTCAATAGTTACCTTTTCTTTATCAAAAAACTTGATTCTCCAAATTGCGATCTCTGCGACACTCCTGAAGACGTCAAACACTACATGATTTACTGTCCTAAATTCAATTCACAAAGAAAATTCTTCAGACAATTGCTTACATCACACAAAATCAAAGTCAATGTTAATTGCATCAAAAGTCTTCTCGATTCACCTAAATGCTTCAAACTTCTCTCCAACTTTATCCTCAACACTCATAGATTCAAAAATCTCAAACAATATCTCGAAAAAGAAGAAAATTTTTAAAAAAAAAAAAACTCACCTTTTCTTTTCCAATTATCATTTTCTTTGGTTAAAAGTCATCACTTTCTTTGGTTAAAAGTCATCACTTTCTTTGGTCAAAAGTCATCACTTTCTTTGGTTAAAAGTCATCACTTTCTTCGGTTAAAAGTCATCATTTTCTTAGATTTACAGTTATCATTTCCTTTGGGTTAAAAATTTTAAAAAAAAAAAAAAAAAAAAAAAAAAAATCGGTAGGGCTATTAGGCTGGATACAAGAGTTGGTCGAATGGATTTGGCTTTTTCCCGCTCAATCATCTAGGGCTTGTGGTTTGGGTCACCACAAGATACTCTGCCTAGTCAACAGAGTATGGAAAGTCGGATTCGTTCGGCCTTCCCTATTTTCAGACCCAATAAAAAGAGTGGGATTTTCTTTTTTCTCATTTTCTCTTCTCAGTTTCTTTCGCTTTTCTCTTAAATCATCTCAGTCAAAATAACTTAGCATTCAATTCAGAAGAATAAAAAACTGTTATAATTACAAAATTCTTAATAGTTTTCCCTTACATAACGTCCAAAAACGTCATCGCATGTATTCTTACAAAATGTATTTCTCTTAGTGCGCAATGTGAAATCAATAATTATCTCATCCAAAGAATCATTTCAGACCTAATGGCTTTGAAAGTACTTCAAAAATACTTGCACTCCTCACTGGCTCTGTTTTTTTTTCCCCTGTTGGGGTTTGGTGCACTCGATTATTGGTTGGCAGCGGCTGCGGACAGTTTGCCGTAGTGGCCCTTTGTTGCCCCTAGCCCTTCTCTTCTTGTCTATTATTGGCTAGCTGAGAAAGTGCTTCTCATCCATTATATCTTTTGTGCATCATCACGATTCAGTAATGGTTCAACGCACTTACTGTTGTCTATTTCATTGAAGAAATTAAGATGGTCTTCAATCTCAGATCCCATTGGATCTGTGTTGTTTTATAAAACGCTTGTGTTCAAAAACTCGCCCCACTCATATCACCTGGAGCATTATAGCAAAAGCTGCCACTGGCAGCTCGACCGTTCATAATCAAATCAACGTGTATAATACCGGAAATTGATAAGAACAAAAATTATCAACAGCTGTGCTGAGACAGAAGTGTAGTTTGACAATTTTTTCTTCAGGGTTATAAATAGGTTGATTTTGGGTTGATCAATTATTCTTTTTTTTTTGTAAATAAAAAATACCACACATTAATTTTTGGGAATCTAACAGAAGTAGATGACAAGTAGATGTTATGAAGCACAGTTCAGCAAACTAAAAAAAGGTATTAAATGGAGTAGCTAAATATTAGGGTATGGTGAAAAAGAAGTTATTAGGGTTGAATGTGACCATTCAATTTTCGGCAGGGTTGGAGGTGTGATAGTATTTGCCCAATCCTAATTCCCTGGTTTCGGGGTTCCTTTGCACGTCCAGGATGACTATCATGGAGGGAATAAAGTCAGATACAGCTAGATTACTTGTGAAGAGGGAAATTTCTCACATCTCTTTCGGACGGCTCGCCAACCCATTGATAAAGATCTTCGAGGTTTGATCCCATTCCCAGACATTCCGATACATGCATGAGCTCATAACCAGCCTTTTGTAAAACAGTCACGGCATGTGGGGTGACTTTGTGAGCCGTATCTTTATACGTCTCATGGTTCAGAGCGATCTGAGGCGATGGATACTTCTTGGCCAGCTTGGTGTACATCGCTTTTGATTTTTTAGCCGACGCGCCCATCGAATCCTCTGAGTCACTCGACCAGTCGACGACCACATATCCTCGTTGCTTTAGTACTTTCAAATTTTCCTTAGTATGCTCGCCTAGTCAAGATGCAAAAGATTTTCGAGAGGGATGTGAGTAAGACGAAAGAAACATGATTATTTGTTTTCAATAGCGTACCATATGGAGCTCGGAAAAATTTCGGTTTGATTCCTAGAATCTCTGAATAACGGAACAGAAGGACGTTAATGCAGTTCGGGGAGAAGCCCTTTCAAGGTTGATGGGGACTCACTTTAGTGCTCGTTCATTCAAGTCAAGTTGTTGGTGAAGTCATGGACGGATAGAGTGCTAATGTTTGTGTGCGACCAGGCTAAAAACATTTCATAGGAAAATTAATGCAAACAGATGAGATTACTGGTTGCTTGAGGATTAAGCCATGGAACAAATATGCGACTTACTATGTGAACCCAATCAAGTGACCTTGTGCAAAAGCTAAGCGCACAAGAATGAGCAAGTGCGTCAGCACATTGATAACTCCAGCTTAAAGTTTAAACTACTCACTATGTCTGAGGTGTTTAACCACATCCTTATCGTAGATGCAATTATAATTGTATCCATTAACGAAGAAAGTGCCTTTGATATCTCTATCATAAAGGTAGTCGGATATTTGGTTTTGATAGCGATAAGGTCCATCATCGTAGGTAAGTGCGAGGGTTCCAGGTTTCGAGCAGGTAGAAAAAACCACATGCTTAGCAGCTTTGGGGTGGTGAGCCGATTGGACAGATGAATGCGACGCGAACGCGATTAAGAAAGTAAGATAAATTTTTGCATTCATAGCTGTCGATTTTTTGTTGAGGAAGAGCAGGAATTAAAATGATCTCTTGACTGGACAGATTCGAACCAACGGATGAGGGTAGTTAGATGATAGAGGATGGGGATGTGAGTGATGTGGAATGATGGGAGAGTAACGCCCAAGAGTGCCCGCTTATATACCCATTCCTTGAAGCCTGAGGCTGCAGAACGAGTCAAGCTTGCAAGCCATTTCGAGAACTCAAGCACTGTTTCGGGCCGGACCAACCTTTCCGAAGGGGAAATCAGGCATTTGTCGGTCCAGCCAGTTCCGCTGTGCCTTGAGAAAGAAGCTTGCTTTCAGAACGATAGTAGGTGCACAAGTCATAGCCCCACCTCGCCAGAGATGCAGCACTCGCTGAGTAGATGGCAAGAACTCCGCTGTATGTTCTAACCGTCGTACTCTGTCTTTTTGCCGCAAAAAAGGACTGAGAACCGGCCTTGTTCGGAACAGGACGGGATTCAGCAACTGGCCCGGCAGCCCTCTATGTTTATTCACTCCGACCACCTTAACTTGGGCAGCCATCCCTCAACTTCCTGTTCGTCAGGCTTGGATCGCAGTGGGCTGTTGGTCAGGGCTGCATAATACTGAATCACTGATACACCGTCGGGCCACCCCGACGTTCGCCTGACTTGCGGGGAGTGCTCCTCGTGCTGTTCTTTTTGGGTGGCTGACTGGCGGTGGCCCACCGTCTTGAGGAGCTTGCTGAGTGGCTTGATGGTTTGAGTGACCGGTGGCCCACATTTACGACCAACAGTGGGAGGTTGCACATGTCACATTGTCCGAAGAGATTTTTGTCATTCAATGACTTGTTACTGGGTAATGTGTTATATTCATGCCATCAACAAATCCCCTTGCTGCAAGCAATCTCACTAAATGTAACACAATGACACCATATCTGAATTCAAGGAAAATTTATCAAAAAAGTCAGTTGCCCCTCAACAATTATGCATACCTTCTGGTTGTGGATAACAGGAAGGGCAATAAAAAAGCAAAAAAGTCTAACATGAAAATTTTCAAAACTCTGTCACTGGTAATAATGGTATTGGTAATAATAATTCAGGCTAGAAATTTTTGAGGTTTCATTTGAATGCCATGAAAAGTAACATAACCTACCAGTTGTGTTTCATCCATCAATGACACATACAGCAAAATTTCACCATTTCCATTCAAAACACTGTAGTAAAACTATATCCTTCACTCATCTATACTATAGTACCCAGAATCCAGATGCATGCAAATAGGCTGAAGTAGTGGCCAGGAAGTGATTGCACATTCTTGGCTGATCATTTGGGAGTAGGACCATTGGAATCCTCTCAAATTTTCCCCACCCGGTGCCCAACTGGTTGCCTGGGCCCCAGCAAGGCCTCAACAGCATGTTCAGAGCTTGAACAGAGATGTGAAAAGGTTTTGAGGCACAATTTTCTTTTTGAAAAGTTGACTGGTTCTTTTTGCAATGTTGACTGGTCCCAGAAAGCAAGCTTTCTGTGAATTTCTGTACCTCCTTCAGAGGTTCACTTGGCAAGTGGCACCAGGACCACAGAAGTGGTGGGCTTTTTTCAAGTTAGTTTACAAGTTACACCCCTCAAGAATTCAGACTGTTGATCCTTGTCAGCATTACAGTCATCCTACCTGTCCAAAAGACTGCTTGATTCCTTCATTTGACTTGTAATCTTATTAATACAGCATATTTGACTGTGCGTTGATAATTGCACATCCCCCCCTCCCCACCCACCCCCACCCCCGCCCCTCCAAAAGGGGTGTGCAATTAAACCTGCTCCTCCTGGAGGGGCAGGTTTGATTGCACGCCCCTTGGAAGCCTGTTGGCAGAAGAACCTGCCCCTCCAGGAGGAGCAGGTGGGATTGCATGCCTACCAAGAACCAAGATAGCTTGGTTCTGGAATGGCGGGTAGCTTAAACAAGGGGCGGGGCCTTTGACCCGCCCCTTAACAAGCTCAAAGTTCTCTCAACTGAGGTTTGCCCTGCTTACTCTGAATAATAAGTCTGGTGTTGATCCACTGTCAAACTTGACCCTGCTTGCACTACTGCAATTACAATAAGGGTGGTGGAGATTATCTGACAGTTGAGCATGGACACGGTTAATGAAGTTTCCTAACCAGGCTTGGTCACTAACTTATTGCAGTCCGCCGCCGCTTAGCTTTGCTCCAGGGTGAGCCGCAACTTAGGAACAAGTAGGCAGCCGAGGGACCTGGATAATTTAGGATTGGTCACAAGAGTTGCATGTTGTCAACAGTGGGCCGCTACGCTACACTACGCTATTTGACCACTAACTGTTAGTGTAGTGGCCTTTTTATTTCCTGGAAATTCTGTAGTGTTAGCTGACGCTAAACCCCACTACGCTAACTGTTAGTGTAGTGTAAATTTTCTCTCAAATGTTTTGGTAGTGTTAGCTTCAAATAATCTCAGCTAACCCTAACAGTTAGTGTAACTTTTTTGCGCTAACAAAATTTTGACTGTCAGATAGTGTAACCGATTTGAAAGCTAACATTTAGTGTAACTTATACCAAATTAAGCTACGCTACACTACACTACATGTCTAGTTACGCTACGCTACAGTAGAAGTTACACTACACATGTAGTGTAGTGTAAATCATCAATTAGAGAAATTGACATGTCAAGGGAGGATTTATGCTCTTGAACCCTCTTCCTCTGCTTTCTGTTTTCAATGGACAAGTTGTGTGAACTGTCCATATAACTGATACGGCCAAGTTCCATAGTGACGATTTTCAATGTCCTATGATCACATACAATCCCGCAGAAAATGAACAGCACAAGATGCAGAGAAAAACAAATGGAGGATGTGCCTGGTGAGATTTGAACTCACAACCTCAGCAATTCTGAGTCACATACCAGAGTGCTTCCTTTACCAACTAGGCTACAGACCCTTGTGGTTGTAAGGTTATTTGGGTGGTAGTTGCCATGGTTCATGCCAACAGCTCCACCACACTCTGGTGATACATCATGGTTACACCTCAACCCCCCCCCCCTTGCTACATGATGTGAAAGCGGAAATTGAACAAGTGTGGGAATGGAACCCAGTAAAGTATGATCTGAGGGGGAATTGAACCCATAATCTCAAGGTAGTCTGACAGGGGAATGTGGTCTTACAAGTAAGTGTTAAAAATTGGCAGGGGGCTAAAATTGAGTGGCCCCCATTACCAACTGAAAAAAATGATGATCAATTGAGGGGATCTGGATGTAGGCCCCCCAATCAGGCACTGTCTTCAGGGTATACTAATGCTAGTCATGTGGTCATGTAAATTTTAATCAGTTATGCTAACAGTTAGTGTAACCATTTCACCAGTTACGCTAACAGTTAGTGTAACTGAGGGTACCACTACACTAACCGTTAGTGTAACTTTGCAAAAAGTTACACTAACATGTAGTGTAGTGGGTTCACCCACTAACACCACTAAAATTTCACTAACAGGATTTTGGTTAGTGCTAGTTGTGCCTTTTTAAAGGTAGCTAACACTACGCTAAAGTTTTTTTGTTTTTTAAAAAATCCTGTAGTTTTAGTGGGCCAAAAATTCCCGCTAACGGTAACTTTTGTGTAGCGTAGCTTAAAAAGCTAACACTACGCTGCACTAACACTACGGTTAGTGTAACTGGCCCACCGTTGATGTTGTGAACGGACTTTCATCTTGATTATTTCCGGTTTCTGATTCCAGTCCACTTTTTCCCTCTTTCTTTCTTGCCAACCTATCCACAACACATATTATTCCACTTGGCATGATGTGTCAAAAAAGTAAGAAACTATGGTATGTATATACATCCAGGAAACA